GCCCTTGATTGTGCTAATAAGAATTGAATATGCATGTTACAGTTCTCACACACATGATAGAGGCCATGTTTGATATACTTAGTTAGCCTAAAATGCCTTCCCTTATGATTAATTGCCCTAGTTTACCCCTTTTGAGATTCATATTCCCTTTTCTTGAGTTACCTTCATTACACGCCTTGCTGAAAAACCAATTTTACCATTCAAATTGATCAAAGGCATTGTGAGTTTAATCAAGAATGAGTTTTAACACTAAGTTTGGGGTAGCATCCAATTAAGTTGCTTGAGGACAAGCAAAATTTTAAGTTTGGGGTAGGGGAGTAGCAAGCTATCTAAGTTTGAGTTCAAAAAGTCAGAACGAAAGAACAAAAGTGCTGCAGAAAAATTAAAAATTATGCAGCAAAACTATGCAAAGAGTAAAACATGAGTTCAAAAAAATAGAATCTGAGTTGAAAAGAGCAAAATGGAGATCAAAAAGAAGAAATTAGCAGTAAACTGTTGCAGAGAAAAAGGAAAAGAAATTCGAGGAAAAGGAAAGAGTAAATGGAAATAAGAGAAGAAAAAGGGAAAATGAAAATTCTGCTGCACAAAAACAATTTGTTTGCTGCATAATTGAGGGATTTAATGTGAATTAATGCTAAACCAGACCAATTTTAAAGTCATTCACTCAAAATGCCTCTGATCTTTTGAAATTGCAACTTGTTCTTATTCTGTTCAGTATCTACCTTAACCTAAGCCCTGTTATAAACTGTAAAAAGTCCTCTTGATGTGTGATTGGCTGTACTAAGCAGAGGAGATAGAGAAATTAGGCAAGCATATGGTAGAGTGTAGCTGAATTGATGATTAAAGAGAGAAAACAGTACTCAAACACTGCTGAGAATTGAGGGAAACACTATCCAGTGAGAAGTGATCATGATTTTAATGTTTCTCAAATGAACTTGGCTGATATATATGAACTTAGATAGCAATTCTTGCTTAAAATTTGATGAATGCATTGTGAATGCAACGATGAGTAATTGGATGAACATCTTGATTGAAAATTTTGCAGAAAACACAGAATTGGAAATTGAAAAATCTGAGAAAAGCAGTTTGTGAATTGTTTTTTTTAGAAGTGGAAGAATTACCCTTGGTTTAATTTGATTTGCTTGAGGACAAGCAAAAATTCAAGTTTGGGGTAGTGAAGAATCCTTATTTTGACTGATATTTTAACATAATTCTAACACATTTGATAAGAAAAATACATAAAGAAAGCAGAAAAACTTAGAAAAATAAAAGAAATTGAAGTTTGTTTAAATTTGTAGTTATTTTAGTAATTGTGAAATTTTTGCTTAGGAATTAAGTTTTTAATCTTGTTTTTGAAGGAATAAATTGAGCAAGGATCATATTCATGGAAGTTTGATGACAAGGAAGAGGAAAGAAGCAAGTCTGGACTCCAAAAACACAAGAATAAGAAATTGCAGACTGGGCGTGATCACTATTGTCAGTGAAAGTGATCACTTCAGAGCTCAAAGAAGAAGTGAAGCCTGGGCGTTACCACTTTTATCATTAAAAGTGATAGTTCCAGAGAGGCAAAATATCAGGAAAGCTCTGCGTTACCACTATTGTCATCAAAAGTGATCGTTCCAGAGAGTCTTCAACTTGGCGAGCTGCGCGTAGTCACTTTTATCAGCAATAGTGACAACGCGCAACTACCTTGGCTCTACGTTGTCACTTTTATCATCAAGAGTG